TCCGCGACTCCGAATCGGCATCGGCCCTATTGGGCCCCATCTGTGGTGGTCTGATGGCTCTTTGAGGCGCGCGCGGAACGCGACGCGCCGTACGCTCGGGTCTGTTTCTGGTCGGACGGGGAGCCACCCATGCTCGCCGTCCGCAGGCCCGCGCTTACGGTGGCCGGAGATCGTCCCGCGATCCCCGACGCCCGGTGTGTCCTTCGCGATGGCTGGGTTGCGAGGAGGCAGCGCTTCGCTGCCTCACGCGTCCCGCCTCCTCCTTAGCTAGCATGACTGCTTCGCAAAAGGAGGAGACGGCATCCCAATCCCCCTCGCTCCGCATCATGGCCTGCACTAGGCCCGGACGCGAGAGGTCGCCATCGCCGATCACTTCCCTGAGGACACGGCGGTGCTCAGCCCACGAAGGGCATTCTCCCACCGTGTGTTCCACCGTGTCCTCAGGGCGGTCCTCGCAGTGATGACACCCGGGCGTTTCCTCCCGCCCCATCAGACACAGGTACCTCCCGAAACTTCCATGTCCGGTGAGGACCTGCGTCAGGCGGTAGGTGAGGACGCCGTAGCGTCTCTCAAGCCACTCCTCAAAGAGGGGACTTACCGCTGCGATGGCAGCGAGCCCAGCCCTCGGTTGCGACAGTCGTTGCTGCCATTCCGCCATGAGATCGCGCCGGAGCTCATCCCGCCACGCACCTATCTGGCGCGGCAGCGGGGTTTCGCCCCGGCGACGTGCCTCCGCGCGCATGCTGTACACGCGCGCGAGCACCTTCGCCTCCAGATCCCACGGCGGTAATCCGGCAAGGAGGTTCGCCGACTCCCCAGAGATCGTGCGGTATCCGCGGATCATTCGGATCGCCATGACCCTCTGTGCCATGAGCAGCGTCCGAGCGGGACGCCGCAACAGGTTTGGCGCCCAAACAGGGGCGCCGTAGAGGGCCATGGACCGCACGACCCCGGCGTATAACCTCCGGCAGGAGGCGTTTGGCCCCCCGAGGTTGGGGAGGATGCGTTTAAACGCAGCCCCCGTCCTCTCCAACTTTGGAGCCAAACGTCGGAAGTGTTCAATGAAGTTCCACCGACTGTCGAGGACGAGTCCTAGGTACTTCATCGTCGTCTCGACGCCGATGGTAACTCCTCCCGCCGTTATTTGGGACCCACCCGGAGGTGGCGCGTTCCCGCGGCCATGAAAACACATGGCCTCGGACTTGTGGAGCGCCACCTCGAGTCCCAACTGCCGGATTCTCTCAACGACTGTCGCAACCGCTGTCGCCATTAAGTCGGCCGCCGCCTGGTGTGACCTCCCGTGCGCTAGCACCAGCGTATCGTCGGCGTAGCATATTGTGCTAACGCCGTTCGGGAGGTCGGTGCGCAGCACCCAGTCATAGCCGATGTTCCACAGGAGCGGCCCCAGAACCGAACCCTGTGGAACACCGCGTGACATCTCTCGCCGGTTCCACTCGCCCCGGTGACCGGGGTAGCTGACGGACCTGTCCGTCAGGTAAGCCTCGATTACACGACGGAGGTAGGTAGGCACCCGATGATATCGGAGTGCCTCCAAGATGCAGCTCCAGGGCAGGGAGTTGAAGGCGTTGGCGATGTCCAGAGACACCGCCACTACGACCTTACCCCTGGACACTGCAGTCCCCGTCGTGAGGTCTCTAACGCGCATGATGGCGTCCACCGTGGAGCGCCCTCTGCGGAAGCCGAACTGGCCGTCCGACAAGTCCGGCCCAATGTCCGTCAGGTGCGCGACGAGGCGGTTCGAAATGATTCTTTCGAAGACTTTCCCCACCTCGTCGAGCAACACTATGGGCCGGTACGCGGACGGAGAGTCCGCAGGGCGCCCCGTCTTCCGCACGAGGACCAGTTTTCCCGCTTTCCAGAGAAGCGGGAACTGGCCTCTCTCCAGACATGCGCTGTAGAGACCAATCAATCGAGGCCCGAGAGCCTCTGAGGCCAGGACCCATGCCTTGCCATGCAGGCCGTCGGGTCCTGGGGCGGTGTTCTTGGCGCCCATCCGGCGCACCGCCGCTCTCAATTCTGCCTCGGTCACCTCTGGGACGATGTCGTCGTCGTCGTCGCTGTAGCCCGCGTCGGGCACCGCAGGGGGCGGAGTCATATACGGAGGGGTGAACCCCCTCCACAGTCGAGGGAACAGGGTGCCAATCACCTCCTCCAAGACTTCTTGCCGGAGACTCTGGGTGAGCGGGGGAGCCCAGGCGCGGGGCTTGTCGCGTACCATCCGGTACGGGCGTCCCCACGGATCTCTGTCCAGAGTCCCCAGCATCTCTCGGCGGGCCTCCTCCTTGGCCCAAAGAAACACCCTTAGCGAGTGAATTCCGTCGTTATTAATGTCGTGAATACTACATCTGCTAATAAGCTACGCCGAAAATAAACGTCGAATAACATTCACGACCTCCTATGGAAATTTCCAATAAAAGAATCGTGGTTTATTATTACTTACTTAATTTAATTCCATAAATAATGTAGTCTAACTTGTAGAGTGGTCGCATAAGCTTGCGCGCTCGTCTGCAGAGGTAGATTCCCGTCTCGGATTGAGAAAAGTGCTATTACGAGTACCTACGCTGAATATACCTACACCGAAATACCTACAAATGTACCTACACACATAAATGCCACCATGTTATGTATGTTTTACTACATAACTATAGAACTAAACATAAGTATGTGAAACCTAAATTGCGGACATTATGTCAATTATATGTTTTTAGTTGACATAATCGTTTTGATTATAGAATTGATAATCTAAGCATAATCGCAAGGTTTGTATTATTAATAACTAAAGTTACGTAATAAAAACCCATGTGGATCGATAACACTTTATTGCATTTAAATCTAGTCTAGGTCAAACTATTTTTGCATGCATCGCGATCACCTTGAAGGAAGTGAAATGATTACGGCTTCCATACATAAATAATGCTAATGTTGGATTCCTATCCAACTTCCTTCAAGGATTCCTTTCCTATCGCGAATACATAATACATGATCGACCCAGTGCAGTTTTCTATGAAACTTTTATTTATTCTTTGTATTTGCTGGCATTAGGTACTATGGTATGTCTATCGAAGTGCATTTGGTGCAATGGCTTGGCGACCGATTGCTGTGCAATTCGATTCTCGCTCCGAACAATTCCTTGTGTAATCCAAAAATTGTTGTTTTAGGTCTTGAACATGTGGTCAACACTTGGTCTAGTGTGGGGGAAACGTTTAAGAAAAATAAACCTGGCATAGAAGAGGAGACATTACCCACTTCATCGAGATCGAAATATATCAAAATTGACATCTCCATATTAGTACCTATTGATGTCAGGATGTGTGACAAGTACAATGCGAGTAATGATAATGTTACACAACTAAATAACTGATTAAGAAAATAATCACTGATAAAATAATACGTAGGTAACACGTTCTTCATCGATGGATCGATGTTTAATTAGCTAATTTGTTTTTTTTTTCATAATAGGTTTATCACTGTCCGTCCTGATAAAAGGATTTCTTAAGATTTGTTTTAAATATTAAGTAGGTACTTACTATACATATGTAAATACAGTGTAATATCATTCATTACCTATCTATTAGTACCTACTGTCTTTACCATAAGGGCACTCGGGGCTTGTGGCTTGTGACGCCTGAGGACGGGGGCCCTGGACACAGTGGACACAGGCCTAGAGAGCATCGACAATTTATACGACAGACACACATGTACCTCGCATACACACACGGACTGGTTCAAATCCCGCACGAGGCAAATCTTTGCGATTCATAAATTGCCGTTTCGGGCTTCGGGTCTGGGTGTCATGTGTATGTGAATTTGTATGTTTGTAAACGCAGCCACGACACAAGTGAAAATCCTAGTGTGGTGCAACGTAAAAAGAAACATTTCACAAGGGTCCTGAATTATTGTGTGCCCATTGTGCCCCAGCGTATACTAAGACGGCCCAGGGTAATGATTTAAGTTGAAAGTGACAAAATTAAAATCGGAACAACGCTTACGTAACGTTATATAGAACAAACGAAAACTGGGCCCTATACATTGATTATTATAGGTTTACCTATCAAATGTTACTTACCTACCTAGGTACTTATTAGGTAGTAACTATTTCCTTTATTTATTTCTATATACTTGACTTATACATTATATTTAAATATTTGATTACCTATATAAAAAAAAACATTTAAAAATATAAAAAAGCTATTATTACCATTAAGATTTTCATTTTGTTACGAGTTGATATACACGGAAGCCTTGAAGATTTTCGTAGATATATATAATTGCATTCAGACATTCAGCATTGAAGAATTCACAAGGTAGCATTTATTATTTACATACGTTAACGTAAATAATGTATTTACTTCTTAGCTTTGCATGTTATTATTATAATAATTGCAGCTTAAATGAGGTTTAGTTAACACTAGCGTGCTAAAATTAGGATTTATTAATCATTCTTGCCCTAATAATTTCAAAGTTTCTTTGTTAACGTTTAGTACGTACCTATGTATTTGAAAATTCTTTTGCAAACTACTAACTACTAAACTCTCTTTTTTTGTATCAGTTGATTAATATGAAGTCAGTTAATTAATACATAGAGGTACTGTACTGAAACTTTCATGTAATTGTAACACACACTTCTAAAAACCGCATCATTATCGGTTCAAACAATCGGGAGATAATTGCGCACAAACATACATACAAACTGAGAACCTCCTTTTATTGAAGTCGGTTAAAATAGAGCAGTAGGCACCTTAACTCGTCGAGTACCGGTTTTGTAGACACAATTATAGAACAATAGGTTGCGGTCACCGGTGACCGCTTGGTGTTTGCCAGTTTAAATTAAAATGCAATGTACCTACCTACGTAGTTATGTAGGTTCATACATACCTAAAACGCGATTAGTTACGATTTCTATAGCATTTCACCGCGTAAACAAATAAAGAACATCACGTTTTTTGATAGAACTGAATAATAACAACAATAGAAATTACCTTCATCAACGCGAAGCGCTGATCGTCGTCAATTCCCACAACAGCATTCGAAGAGGGTGCCATTTTCACAAACTAATACGATATAATAAATGTAACGATCGTAAAAACGATATTCTTATCACGATTGATAAAATATCTACGCGTGCGTGCAAGACTCGCGGGCGCGCGCGACTGAATGACGACGAGTACACGAGTGCGCTTGCGCTTTGTGAACACCGATCCGAGAGTCCGAACTAAGTTTAAATAAATTGTGAACGTGTTGTTGATTACCGACTCGATCGAAATCGAAAGGTGTGTATTCAGTCAGTACAACAATAGCGGTTCAGATAATCGTGATAAAGAATTTGGCGCGTAATTAAGATTTGATGCGCTTACGCCGGCGCCGAATGCAGTCTTTTAACCCTATGACCGCTACGGATCTAATATCGCGAGTGCACTGCGGCTGCGTAAGAATTTGTCAAGGCATGAGTTCAAGTGTACCTACCTATCGTGTCTTTCAATTTCCAAAGGACTACCCAAATTTTTTTTTTACGGGGGTAAAATCATCGAATGACTGCTCCCACCTGGGTGAGGCGGGAGGGAGTGTCAGACTCTTACTGACTAAAAACCACCCGGTTCCTTCTCCTGCACGTCGAGCCGTAGCCCCGGTTATCCGTTAGGTTCTCCGCGACTACGAAAAAGGATTACCTAAGTAATAGATAATATTCTGTGACCTATTATGGTATATACATATGTAGGTAGGTATAGGCACATATTCAATTGAACTTCTCACCAGCTATGATAATATGGATCCCATTGTAATAGGGGGTGACACTATTCATACACTAAGCTTAATAACAGACTACTAGAAGTTATATTCTCTTTGCAGACTACATTTTATTACACAAATAATTTTTAGAAACAATGAAACATGGTAATTTGTTATTATTGTGGCTGTGTGGGACTTATCTGTGACTATCTGAAGAGGTCATTAATTTAGATGCAATTAATAAGTGGAAAAATAAAAGAAAAATTTTATGAAAAATATTTTACTTACATTAAATTATTTTGCATTATTTACATAAATTCATTACAAAACATTAGGTATTTGTCAACTATCTTGGATCCCAGATCCAACTTCATTTCTAAACTCTTTGATTTGTTTGTTTACAATTCAGTTCTAATTTTAAATAAGTCTTCATTTCATGACAGTGAATACTACTCCACCTCTCTCTGGTTCCTCATCATGCACCTCCTTGTCACTGCCCTCAGGATCTGATACATCAGAATCATCACTATCTCCGTCCCTATACTTTCCAAAACTACTTTTATCTTCTGGCAACTCTCCGATCTTGATTCCTGCACGAGCCAACAACTTCTCAGCAGCATGCTGCGCCTCTATTTCTCTCAAATGTGTATTGTATTCTTTTTGAAGTTTTAATGATTCTTCAATGGACAATACTTTGGCTGGACCATGGACACTAGGAGGGGGAGTAGCAGCTGTCACTTCCCAATGTTTATGCTTTTTCCTCAGAATCTCCTTGTCTGGGTTTTGGGAGTCGGATTTTGTTGTCCTATAAGGCTTGAAATTGCCTGTAGATTTGGGCTTAGGTTTAATTTCAGTTTTTTCTACTATGTACTTCACATGAGGCAGCTCACCAATCTTTAACAAGTCTTCTGTAGTAATCAGTGGCTTTTCAGGTGGTAATACTTTTACTTGTTTCTCTGGAGCAGTGGTTTGGCTGAGGATATGAAGCACGTCTTCTGGTTCACTGTCGTCATCGGAATCGAGGTATGTGTTGTTGTTATCCTGTAGTTTGCCAACCCATTCTACTTGCTGCACAACGTCTTTATCAACACCGTTAAGTTTCATGTTATCAAACATACGACAAGTTTGTTCCTCTTCCTGCTTCGCTTTCAATTCACTAACGATTTTATCATGAAACGCCTGGATTTTCGCACCCTTGTCAGGAAGCTTGGATATAAAAGCCTTGTTATTCAATAGTTTCAGTTGCCTGTCTCGTAACTCGCATAGTTCTGCGATATTTTTTGATGACAAATCAGTGATCTTGCCGTCGATTTCAGTTTTCGGTGGAGGCGGCAGAATACCTGGAATCTTTTTTATTATTGTCTGCATAGTTTAAATACCCTTAACACATGTATTCATAAATAAAGTTTATTTTAGAGACTTAGTGAACTTCGTTTACTTGTAGAAACTTGTTTATTCTCAAAATCTGATTCACTCATTCATTGTGTTTGTGATGTGAATTAAACGTCAAATTACTTGTCACTGTCAGTTGGCACGTCAGTGATAGTTATACGGTGATAAAGTTGCCATGTTTAAGTTTCCTCTGTGTGTAGTCTACTACTACTGTCAGTAGTTTTCTTACTATCGCTCTCACAAAATATTCGTTACTAATTACTAAGTAGTATTTTTAATTACAAGAATAAATTTAGTCAAATATTTTATTCCAATTTTATTTATTGACAAATATTCTACGATACGAAAAAATCGACTAAATGAATCTGTCAGCTTGCCGTAAGTAATATGCTCTGTGGTAACTGGTAACTTGAAAGTGAATGAATGTTTGTATTACCATTGTTCATTCAAGGTTCTGTCAATTTACTTGGTTGACGCTTTTTGTAATTTATGTGTAAAAAATAGATTTTCGCACCATAAAATGTTTAAAATAATAAAAAGAATGAATAAGTTATAGTGTTAATACCTCAATATTTCATGAGATAGTGTTTGTTTGCAGTGTTGATCTTGGATTTTTCGAGAACAATACATAATACCATGGAGGACGCTACGGTATATTTTCATGCATATTTTCTTTCATAGATGTTTACTATTGTGTTATTTCAGTGCATATTTTGATATATTGTAAGATTGTATCTTGTTATAGTTAACCTAGCTATTTATAAATTAAAATTTTAAAGTTTATGCATTCTTGTGTGGTATTTTTAAATTATGGAGATCAATCAATATTTGACCTCTTTTGCAGGTGCCTTTGCATCTCGAGCCGTTTCAGCATGGTGAAGTGTCCGACAAGAGAATTTGGATCGGAAATCTTGACACCAGAGTTAATGAGTATGATTATTTTATCTTTTATCCTCTACAAACTATTATAAATCACATCCAGATTTTGGCACTTAAATGGTTTCAGATTAACTTACAGATTAAGTACTTATTGACACAATAGTTTTTCCAACAAGATTATAGATTTTATCTAAATGTACTCTTAAGTTCAGCTATTATAACATACAATTTATTATTCTTTTTATTTTGCTTGCATATTTTTAACAAATTACTTTTTCTAATTACCGGTATCAACTACTGAAACTGGTTCGTGCATATGGGAACATTGAGAAGTTTGACATGCTGTTTCATCGGAGTGGTCCCAATGCAGGACAGCCACGGGGGTTTGCGTTTGTTACGTTCAAGCTGAGGCAGGATGCCATTAAAGCCATGAACTCGCTCAACGGTCAGATGCTTGGAACAAAGAGGATAAGCGTCAAGTTTGCTAAGAACACTGTAAGTTGGATTTATGCATATTTCTTTAAGGAAAATTAATGCTAGTCCTACATAATATTCAGATAAATATAAAAAATTAACAACGAAACATAATAAGTACTAAATTCTTTTCAATCATAAATTTTATTGTCATCATTATCATTTTTGTGTAAGCCCAACGTAAATAATTGTACTACGATTATCTTACAACAATAATTTCTGTTACAGGACGAACAAGAGAAACCAAAACCAGAACTTGGCATAGCAGTTCTAGCAGGTGCTAAACCAGAGCTCAAGTTAAGCAAAAAGACCGCTATCCAGTCCATAGAGGCCAAACTAAAGATGATGGAGAATATGAAGGCAGGTGATGACTTCGTAGTTAATAAGTTAGCTGCAAACGAGGCACCAGTCATTGCACAATATCAGACTAAACAGTATCAACCACAGAAATCTGTTTCCTCCTTTAGAAGAAGACATCCATATCACAAAAAAAGATAGATAGTATTTTTTTCTAAATGCCTTAATTTTATGGAGGGTGTTGCTACCATGACAGTTGGGTTGTAATCTCAATTTCAAGAATTTAACCCATAAATCCCCAAGCGGTCACCGGTGACCGCTTTCCACTAATATTACATTACATTATAGACCTTATTTCTAATGTTTACAGAATACTTTTGTATGACCAAATTTAGGGGATGGATATCAACGGGTTAATTTCTTTCTAGAATGATCTCCATTGTTATAGTATAATATGTTTTTAGATTGTTCACACAAAATAAATATATTCTACATATATTGTACTTAATTAGTTTTTGCAGGAAATGTTAGTTAGAATAATAAGTGAGTAATGTCATTGAACAAATATTGTCGTTTATATTAATTTGTCATTTACAATAATTTTAACCCATGGTTTGCCAGAACATAGGGATGACGCAATGTATTTTCTATTGTGGTTCATTAGTACATTATAGCTGCATTCCAAAGGGTTAAATGCTGAATTAACGGTTGTAATTTTGTTGAATGTTATAAATATTAACTTTATCATGTTCATTTATGAGTGTAAAATATCCTTTTTTAACATATTTGTTGGTAGGTGTCATGGTAGCATCAAATGATATTTGTAAAGTGCTATTTTACGCAAATAATGTTAGTTTTTTATTGTAGTAACATGTGATTTATGTATAAGTGCTAAGTGAATGATTGACACCGATTTTTAAGATGTCAATATTAATTTATATTTTTGTCAGTCTGTTTATTAACGTTAGATCTTAGCTTTATTAATATTGGTATATTATTACAAAGGTAGGCAATGTTATTTATTGTTCATGAAATTATAATTTTACTAATATTTTTATCTTTAGGGCCTGTTTCGTTATGTTTGATGGTTTCTCTTAGACTAACAAATAGTTTGACAATGTTTCTGTCATACGAAATATCTAACAGCCACCTTAGTTAGATATTGTAAACAGGCCCTTAGTATTAATCTCTTAAAACGAACGAATTTTAGTAATACTTTAATCCATTTTGGGACAGCAAGCGAGAGAGGACTACTGAATGTTCGCTACTCAACTAAAATACTAGCGTAGTGTGAACAAGGCATAAGTAGTAGACCTTTAGGACTGAACTGCACCTCCTTTGATTCTAAAATCGTGGAGACATGTGCATTCAGATTATAATTATTATAAAAGCAATTATTATGTGCACTTAAAACTAAATGTATGTACTATTGTTGCCAGTCTATGTAATAATACTTATCGAAATGTAATTTGTGATTTGAAGTTAGCTTTTGAAAATGTTGTATAATACATTAGTATAAGCGTTGTACCATCAGTGTGTTCATTTGTGTGTTAAAATCTATTAAAGTAATCAACGAATCGCTTAAGTACACTCATACTTATATTTACAATTGTCTTTTGTGTGCAGTTGTGAATAAATTTAGTTCTCAACACATTTGAATTGTTTTCTATTTATCTGATACTAGCTACTCCCGCGGTTTTATTTGATGCTTGGCTTCTATAGATCATAGCGTGATGTTATATTGTCTATAGCCTCCCTTGATAATTGCACTCAAAAAAAAATTATTAGAATAGCGCGCTCTAAAAACAAGATACAATTCATTACATTCAATACGACTTTATCATTTAATACCTATTCTACCCTAATAGAAGTTATATTCTCTTCGTAAGTTCGTACCTACCCTTTTGTCGTAAAAGTGTATAAAGCCAAGTAAAGGGAGAGAGAACATTTGACAGATCGCCAATCTGTCAGGGACATTGTAGAACATACCCTACATCCAGTCTCACTTAAAGCTTTACCTTACAATTTCACAACACGGGTTCGTGGGCTTCAGATCCACATGTACGAATGTAGTGTCCTTCACGGAGTCCTTGGTAAATGCTATTGATGCCGGTGACAGATGGACGGGATCTATAGGGATTTTAGTAGAGCATTTGAACGCGTCCCTCATAAATAATATACTCTGACTCCTACCTCGTCACATCGGGCGTCCCTCAGGGATCACATGTCGGCCCAGTTTTATTTAACTTATTAATTGTCAATGATCCCGTAGCAGAGTAGCCTTTCATGTATGCGGATTACTTAAGTTCAGCTGACAGATTGAATCGAATCTTGACATTGAGTTACTGCAGAGGGATGTTGATACATTGATAAGATGGTGTGATGACAATGGTATGAATTTGAACACTAATAAGTGCTACCATATGAAGTTCACCAGAAAAACTAAATATATGCGATCTGCATACTACATCGGTGGAAGCTTGGTGCAGGAAGTTGATCAGATGAGAGATTTGGGAGTTACGTTTGATGGTCAGTTAACATTTGTTCCCCATATTGAAAATACTATAAAAAAAGGCTAGGGTTTGTCATCAGAATTGTTACTTGCTTTCACCGGAGTCAGACTAAAATACTACTCTATAATTGTGTGGTTCGTAGCTCTTTGGAGTATTGTAGCAAAGTATGGAGACCACACTATGCCACCCACACATTGAGATTGCTAAAAAATCACGCTTTTTACACCCCAAAGCATATGTAATGAAGTGCAAACATCTGAAATAGCTGGACTAGTTCGATTGTACTTATCTGGGGGCAGTGCCTTTGCAAAATCAAGCTTTCCTCTATACTCATGATACTCCTTGGTCAAGCTTAAAAGTGGCACAGCTATACCATTATTTTCTACGATGCATTTCAGTCCATTTTCGATCTCTTATAACTTCGTTGTGGAAAAAACTAGAAAAAAAAATAGCAGTACGAAGTTTGCCGGGTCAACTACTCAAAAATAAAATTCGTATTATTCTCTTGAATCAATAAATAAACTTTATTATGAAGCTTCTTAATGCATTGAATAAAATGTACATCAGTCCCTTAAACTATGTAACAATACATAACAATCAGACAAATTGTACTAAATATCAAAATATAGTTTATTTTTATGAGTTCAACTTAAAGATATTTGTTATTTGAACAGATTCACTTAACAAAAATTGTTGTACATACGATGGGTTGAATATAGGGCACTATACTAAATAGTTGCTTCACAAATAGTATGTTTGTATAAAACAGGTTGCTATAACACTCAGGATTTAAAAATATGTTAACACTTAATTTACAACTAGAATCAAAGACTTGAACTAGTATATAAAATCACCTACTGTTTGTGAAAACAATTCATATATTTATACATTACGTACTAAGATTGCTTATAATAAGATCAGAATTGTTACTAACGATTTAGCAACTGGAGTAACATACATATTTTCTATTCACTAAAATATTTATATAAATATATTCTCACTAGTTCTGAAACCTGGTGAGATACCGTGGGACAATGAGGTAGCTAGCCTTTGCGTGGGGCTGGCCATGACTAAATAATCATCGTCTTCTTCTAATTTCCTCTTCATAGATGAGTACTGAGTTTCATCATCACCTTCTTTCAGCCAGTCCTTGTAGTCTATACATAGCGGCCATATTATTTTACCGGATCTGTGAAAAAAAAACAAAGTAAGTAAATAAGAGAATATAATTTAATAATAACTATCGTGAGACATACTAAATGAATAAAATTGCGTGTGCTTTTTTCACTAAACTAAAAAAAAAACTAAAATAGTGAGATGCGCGACGCCGCGACCGCGCACGCTGCTTATGAGGAAGAACCCCTCTGTGGTTCAAAACAAGTAGAGCTTTTCTCAGTATATTTAAGTGAGTAACCCGCGATTTTAATTAAAATAAGAGAATAGTGATGAATTTAAAAATGTTCCCTAAATAGTTGTATTTTGGTTACCACTTTTCCTTAGATAAATGTATACCTATGCAATGAAAACAATACGCATCTTGGAATGGCAAGATCTAACATACAATAATTTACTCTTGTACAATCGACAGAGTGCAGTCAATCATCATTAGGCTATATACCACAGGGAGTTTGCGACAGAATTTTGTTTATAAATTGCCTCGAACTTTGCCTATAGTACCAGCAGAAGACATCCCTTGGTATCCTTACTAATATTAGAAATCGGAAAGTGAGTTTGTTTGTTTGTTCCGCTTTCACGCCATAACTACTAAACCGATTGCTTTGAATTTTTGCAGATGTATAGTTAGAAGTACGGATTAAATAATTGGGTACTTTTTATCCCGGAAAAATTTTATATTCCCGAGGGAAAACAAAAGTATTGGTGTAGATGGCGCTGTGTGTATTCGTAATTGTCACATTGGCTTTGTATATTTTAGTGACGCGAGCGAAGCCGCGGGTAAAAGCTAGTTAAATATAACTATTAATAGTTTTTATGTTAACATAATCATACTTACATAGGCAAATTATATGGATCGTATGGGAACCACTCGTCGTATTGTTGCACAGCTGTCGACTGCAGCGTATGTCGCGCATTCTTCTCAATGATGCCCTGGCAGTACACGACTTGATGGGACCTCGTGATGGAAGAAAATGCCCTCGTGACTTGAGGGGGACACGTGCGAAGTGGATTCAGTGCACACGTCACCAAACGTGGCAAGTTTAATGATTCCACGAAGTTAACATCTGAAAATAGTAAGTTGTTATGTAACCAATATTTATTACGTTTTAAATTAAGTTATCATGCTTTATATTCTTGAAAAGATCGTGATGTCATAAGTTTTTACAAGTCGAAGAAGGAATTGTCATTGAGTACAGAGTGACAGATAAGAAAACAGGACTTATACCAAACCAAACGTTTTACATAAACAGAGATGAATTTACTCATTTATAAAAGTCTAGAAAATAGAAGAATACTCACTTTCTTTACTCGTAAACAACAAATGATGTTTGAAAGCCACAAGGTAGAAAATCGCGTGGCAAATAGCGTGGAATGCGCCGTGGGCTTTGGTATTGTCGCACGCTGCAGTTGACTCCTGAGTAGCGGAGATGTAAGAGTGACACCATTCTGCCATACTCTTTAAATACTTAATAAGTCTTGTGTTAGGGACCCGTACACAACGAGCGAGTAGTCCTGCTAAGTGACTGGCAGCAGTTTTTCTTGTGGTAAGGGCACCTGGTCCTATGCCTTGGAGACCAGCAGCTATGGTCCAAAGGTTGTCTAGCACACGGTCGGCACATTGCTGATTTATTGATATTGTGTATAGAAGTAGGAACTGGACGTGCCTGAAAGAAATATAAATAAAATATTGTTAAGGTATTCTTACTTCCTTACTTAATATTATAAATCGGAAAGTGAGTTTGTTTGTTTGTTCCGCTTTCACGACGTAACTACTAAACCGATTACTTTGAATTTTTGCAGACGTAAAGGTAGAAGTCCGGATTAAATAATAGGGTAATTTTTATCCCGGAAAAATTTGATATTCCTGAGGGAAAACAAAAGTATTGGTATAGATGGCGCTGTGTGTAAGTATATGTCACAGGCTAGTTTTTATCCTTTTGTGACGCGAGCGAAGCCGCGGGTAAAAGGTAGTTTTAAATATTTGTAAAACTAATGCGACTGAGTAAGTGATTGCTTTTCAAAATTCAACCTTAATGTTGTTTATGAAGTTTGTAAGTTTTGTTTTGTTGTTTAGAGTGTAAATTATTGTAGTTTGTTTATGGAGAGCTAATATTAAATCAATGTTTAACAGTAATTGTATTGAATATAGTCATTAAGATAGCATAACCTGCACAAACAACTCTAAGCACCACTGCAAAAGTTCAGAATTGGGATGATGACAGGGTATGAAAATTAAAAATATAATTAGTCCGTCAGTTACCTAGGTAATGAAAAAATATTAGACATGTATTTTTTATTTTCTCGTATAATTAAATAATACTTAGTTAAATCGAATCAACATTTTGGAGTGGGGGCTAAAACGTCATTTCTACGTATAAAATGTACATAGAAGTGACGTCACGTGACATTTCAAATCAATATATCGTGAAAAGTATTTGTTTCTATACCAATACAATATAACCTATATCAATATATCGTGAAAAGTATTGTAAATAAAAAATACGTGTCTATTGATTTAAAATAATCTACCAGATGGACATTAAAATGAAAATTAGGCATCTACTCTATTTCTTTACCAACCTTATGCCATATGTAGGTAAGATGATCCTCTCGAAGACAGTGCATAGGATGTTCATGATAGGTTCCCTTTCATCCTCCAGCCATTTGAGGACCTCCAGCATACAATAATCCAAGGTAATTGATACCTCGTCCTGGCAATCTACGTCCATGTCAAACATTGTGTCTGATTTAGTTTTTTCATATTCTGCGATATTTACGTCCATACTTATCATTCTGAAAATAAGGTATTATTTTGTTGTAGACATTTATTTTAATACTAGTGACTCGCCCCGGCTTCGCACGGGTGCAATATGCATGTATATATATAAAACTTCCTTAAGAATCAATCCACTTACTAAAAAACCGCATCAAAATCGGTTGCGTAGTTTTAAAGATCTAAGCATACATAGGGACAGACAGAAGGCGGATAGCGACTTTGTTTTATACTATGTAGTGATGAAAACAATATTTATTTATTTTAGCTACTGAATAATGTAATTTCATGCTACAAGATTGCATGTAAAAGGTCATGAAGAACTGGTCACATATTAGTGATATAGTATCAATGATAGGTATATGCAATTATACTAGAAAGGTCTATTGGTCGAGTGGTCATAAGTCCGAATGCCAAGGCCAAGCAGTCTAGGGTTCGATGCCAGGGTTGGGCAAAGCATTACTGGGTTTTAAAAATTTCTCAGTAATATTTAAACAAATTTAGTTTTGTCCATTGACACTTGTAATACAAGTTCCAAATGCATGGATTTCCTTTAAAAATGGCTTAAATATGTTTTTTTTTATCAAATTCCTGTCCGTTGTTGGATCTAAGTGTATTACAGAATAATATCTACTTACTTATTAATAACAGCAGTCATGATCTGTTCTCGGAGGGAAGGGAGGTACTTGCTCATCCATATGAGATTGTATATATATGCTCTGTTTGTGTAGCACCCTGCTTTGTAGTACGGGAACTGTTCTATCATTATGTGCATTAGAAGATCACTTGTCCTGTAAGCAAGAAAAAATAGCACATGAGAAGTGAACTGAGATTGTTTTATAGCTGTTTTCTTAGGAGATGTTCGCAGCAATAAAGATTTGCTAGCATGCCGAGAACGGCATGTAAAGATTTTATTTTTTGCTAATTCATGTCTATGCTATGTAATAAGAGGCTTTAAATCCGACTCCATTCGAAATCCTTCGAAAAGAAGTCAATATTTTACTTGAAACCAGGAATTTGTCCTTGTAAAAATTCGACTATCCTTGTCTTACTTGTGTTGAAGGTCCTCATAGCCTACACAACCCGTTTTTTATTCACAAAGCAGATTAAGTATCTTCCTATAGAATAGGTACCAGTGATTGTGATTGGCTAGGGAAGCGAACAAATTGGGGATAGTCATATTAAAACTTTTTTGGAATCCCTGCAAAGGATTCATGCATCACTGACTTGCAATTGAAGTTCTGTAGAAAGCTTTTAGATATTCAATATCATAACAAATAACTTCCTTTCTTATCATTTATTATCACTTTGTGTAATGATATTCTCTTATCTATTGATGGTAATTTTGGTGAACAAAATATGACTCATACAAAACAGTACCTATTTGACATTTTTACCTTAAAAATTTAGTAACTATAATATCAAATAGGCACTACATTTTTATATAGCATAAAACTATATTGTTTTATACTGATATATATTTCCAATCACACAAAGAAGTGGTGCAATATACTTACTCTTCCATTTAATATTCCATCCGAACCTCAAAAAAGTATTGTCATACTTTTTGTTTATCCCATTTGAAGATTAGTGTTTTTGATCATCTTCAGCTTTGCAATAAAGCTAGAAAGAGATGGTGCTATCCGTGCGTAGTGCTATCTCTCTCCGCCATTGCAACAACAATACTTCAGAGCTTTCAACCTTCTTGGCTCCTTTTGTTTTGTTCAGCCATTTTGTTTTTGATAAGGTAATAATGCCGTAAGTTATTCCAAATCCAAATGACTCAAGGATTTGTCTACAGTAGCATTATTTTAGCCTGTTATTTCCTCTTTTGGTTGCCATTCTTCAAATTATATCCCACCCTCTAAAATCCAAAAAAGCTCAGTTTCTAACTGTGCATACCATTTCCATATGAGGCATTTGCCACTTTCCAAATGCAGACAAAATGTCATAATCAATATTTTAAAATATCATATCATAATCATTATATGTATGTCATTGCAAGAATACTAAAATACATTTTCTTAATAATTTAGGGTTCACGCAGACAAGCGCAGTTTGTCAATAAATATCTCTGTGGCCGACGCCATAATAAGTTGAGTTGAAGAAATTTTAAAATTAAAGACATGGGCAATGGCTATTTCTGTACTCTCATCCCTTTTGTGAAGAAAAGACAAAAAAAAGCTGCCCATGTCCCTTTTCTTTGTTATTACTAAGCATTGTAGTTTCAAACCCAACCCCATTTTTTTGCTGCTACATAATTATGGCTGCAAAATGGGTGTTGGCATTGAGACTCATTTTGAAGATGAGCATTGCTTGTGCACTTCCATGTTATTTAAAGGCACTTGACAAAATGGCGGACATGACGCCTTCAGTTGTACTGCCGTAAACTAAAAGTAGCTTGTCTGTATGAACCCATGCTAGATCTATTCAAACAATAAATCTGCTGACATAATCTATGGTGAATTGACGACCTTCAACCTTCAAGCAAAGGAAGTCACACATTCAGCCATACAAAAAACTATAAGTCTTTGTTCCTCTTTTATGTAAAAACTAACCAAGGTTGATTAAAAGTTTGTGGGTAAATTGTTTACTGTGAAGTGCCTGAGCAGGCTAGGCAGCTAAACATAAATGTGTGCGAACCTTGCGCAATAAAAGTATTGCGCAAGGTTCGCACACATAACCTTTAATGTATCCTTTTTGTATTTATTATTGGATTATAGAGCATCATACAACATAACACAATATGTACAAATGTATGTTATCTATTGCAGTTTAATAAATAACATATTGCATAATATTTTTTTCTCCAGTATTTTCCTTATAATCTAATCACAGATAATCAACTTTCTTTATGATAATCTTGGGAATTGCTTTTTTTTGGGTCATGAGATAAAATGGAGACATCTGTTCTATTCATTAGTTGTAGGTCAGGGACAGTCAGATGACATCTGTTCCATTAATTTGTTGTAGGTCAGGTATATGGCTACACATATTGTTTACATCAGGAATGCCATTAATATTGCGCCATGATTAAAACCAGCTGAGAATATCTATATTTTCACAATGTGATTAGAATATTAAAAATTCTATCATCACATTTGAAATTTAGTATTCCCAGTAGATATTACTAGAATGATTTATTTTTTTTATTCTTAACTCCTTAGATGTTTCTCAGACTCAAGGGGAACTTTCCTTATGTTGAATGCTATTGTGCAATATAAAAACAAATATTACAAAAATATACTTACATAGGCATTATGGCGACTATTCGTCCTATAATGTCGTGTACATGAGACCATTTGACAAGAAGTTCAGAAGGTGGACTATCTTCCCAGTTTTCTCCATCTCCTAAAATAGAAAACAAAAAATTGCATCAAATAAAATTAACTCGTCGAGTACCGGTTTTGTAGACACAATTATAGAACAATAGGTTGCGGTCACCGGTGACCGCTTGGTGTTTGACAGTTTAACACACACAAGCGCACTAAGTTTATTTAAAGTTATATTCATTTAAAGAATCTAATTATTAAAGCTTGAAATTAAATGAAAGTTGGGTTGCAAAGTTGTTGAAAAACATTGTGAAATAATATCCAAGCAATGTTTTGACAGCAAAGTTTCAGTTTCAACAACATTGCACAATATTTATTTTGCACCAAAACAAAGCTGAAGATGCTCTTGTAGTAATATTAATACTACATAAGATTTACTAATTTAATATTATTATAGGTCTACTAATGGGTTTGAGGGTGTGTGTATATCTATATTGCACAATAAAAGTAATAGCTCACCTTTGAATAGTGTGACTAGCCGCATCATGACTATGGGGCAGTGGTAGGTGTGTGCCGTGACCAGGTTCAGCACAAATGTCCTGTACAGGTCCACCAACTCCTCACTCCTGTCCAACCACTCAATACTACACACTACGTTCACATACTGAGTAAGCTCCCGCCCCAACAACACAACACAAGACAGGCTATCATCAAACACTATCCTAAAGTTATCCTCATTCAAAGGATAATCTCTTAAAACTTTTACCAATTCCAGGTAAGGCCCAGTGTTTTTATTTCTAATGCATTGCACCAAAATTTGCTCAACTTGATTCTTTTTAAAGCGCAGACTCATCCGCGCTAAAGACGCCTGCCGATCAAGAGTTTTTTGCATCAAAGATGCGGCGACGCTCTTCGGAGTTCCCGACATCTTTACTTCTTGAGATCCGACGATATTGACTTTAAATACTCTACTATCTCCGGCTGACGCAGCAATTCTGCCTTCTTGTGATTCAAAACTTCACGCAATATGTTGCTGCTGTCTTCAAGTGTTGGGAGACTTTGTGGCGACTGATCGTAGCTGGTACTCGGCTTGTTGAACCCGAGACTCGGGTCTGACGCCTCGGAAGTCCTTTTGTCTTTCAAGTAGTTTTGCAATCTCTCTAAAACTACTTTGTTATCACCTTCTTTTTTTTCTGGGCTATAACCTTCTTTGGACATCGCTTTGTATTAACTTTACATTGTTATATATACACTCTACGAACGTGAACTAGTGTATTGAATTAGTATTTAAGTATATTCAATCACTACACTATATTTAACAGTATAGTACTATAGCAGTTAAAATTAGCCGAGGAGAAACACGTGCACGACTACGCGGAGTAAAAACTTGACAGCATTGCAATGTTGACGTTTGAAACATTTTATTTGCCGCGGAGAAAGAACGAATGATTACGAATGATTTTTTTCTATTTTCCGGTGTTGGCCTCTTTAGTAACTTTCATAGATTTTAGTCGATCTCAGTGTTGCCATACTAAAATATTGCCTTGGTAAATGTTTAACAAACTGGCGGATTTAATTTCGTGGAACACAGGCACAGTCGCAGCTTTAATGACAGCCAGTTTATGTTTTGCTATCTGTGGTTTTTCATTTCTCAATGAGTTTGGGAGGGGTAGAATGCGTGTGTATTTCTGATTCCGGATTTATGCTTTAATTTATTATGTATTGTCGTTAAATAGTGTGTACGTTGTGTTATTGCGAAAATGTGTGTTGAATGAACTGATATATGTAGTGTAATAAACTTTGCTCAGTTTCTTTCTATTATATGGGCGTTGATAATCATGCAAAATGGCCAACGATTTGTGGTCATGTACCTGTTGTACGGAGGCTCTTACGTGTTGGTTGCGCCTAAAACTGTCGCCGGAGGAAATAGAGCAGCGATACAGAAGCAAAGAAATAGATAAAATATTAGAGAAGGAGAAGCAAACACTACGACGACAGGTAAAACTATTATTGCTCGGTGCGGGTGAAAGCGGAAAGTCAACATTCCTGAAACAGATGAGGATAATACACAAAGTGAAGTTTGAGCCGGAACTGGTGCGAGAGTACCAGCATGTGATATACCAGAACATAGTTAAGGGTATTCAGGTGTTGGTGGACGCGAGGGATAAGCTCGCCATACCGTGGGAGAACCCGAGAAACTTGGACATCGGTCAGCAGGCGCTGCACTTCAACAGTACGTCATCACTGGACAGTCGGCTGTTCGTGCATTACGCGCCACACATACACTCACTGTGGTTAGACAGAGCCATAAAGAGGGCCTATGACAGGCGGAGAGAATTTCAATTGGTGAGTTACAATGTTCAATGTTTGCCAAGTAAACAATGGTACTACTATTCTCTTTGTGTTACCAATGGGAATCCCTTATGTCTTACCTCAATGTTTAATGATCCCTAATGTTTAATTCACAGGGCTGCATTATGTGGTAACATTAATCACAATGATGTGTTCAATATTATATTATAGAAATAATTAATTAATTGTGCCACAATGCTGCTGTTGATAAAACAAACAAGTTATTGTTTGTTTTTATTGATAGTCAATTGTTTTTCTCTGATATTGAGCTGTATAAAATGAATGTTGATAATGTTAAAGGTAGGGTGAGGTCCCAATTAATAAGGAATTCTTTGTTATTTTGTGCCAAATTTAATTTAGTTTTGTTGAATGATTCATTATTTAAGTGGAACTTTGTTATTTATTTCCAAGCACCACTGGAATTTTAAAACATTTCTAAATAGATCTTATTAGACATAATTTTGACAGAAGTTCTTACAAGAAATAAGTCAGTTTTGTTATGTATTTTCCTTGTTTGGCACAGGTAAATCATGTTGCGATTCAAAGCTTAATATTTTGTGCTTGACACTGCCAATTATATTTTTATTCGATTTCTTATCATTCCTTACTTGTTATAGAAGTATAGGTAGATAAACCTCAGAAACAAACTAAACATATACATATTATAATTATTTAGATTAAATTTTTCTAGTTGCATATGTAATAATTGGTATTTTAAACATTGCAACAGGCCTTAATTATTTATTTTAAAAAGTCTTAACACCCCAATATATAGACTGTCTGAGTTTAAGATTAAAAAAAAAACAAGTTTCCTCATGTTACAATGTGCCTACATAATCCTAAAAGTGAAATGTTGCATTGAATAAAGTTTGGCACCAATAAAACAACATGTGAAGAATATAAATGACTTCACTATCATAATGTATGCAATTTGTATGATGTTTATGCATGGGTTTTACACTTGCATATGTTACATACAAGAAAATACATAATATGATAATGTCCTAGTACCTTTTTTAATCGAAAACATGCTTTATTCTATTGTGATTAAGGTTGAGTTCGATAGATAAGCATGCATATTATGTTACTGAAGTATAGTAGACTAAAACATGCTTTATTTCTCTTCTAAATAAGGTTGATTTTGACGAATAGAGTCATAGAGAAAATGTAATTATTTTTTATTCGATTTTCATTTTATAAGTAAAGTTTGCAATAGAAGAAATTAAAGGCTTATGATGAAAATAAAGAGGTTTTTATGATGTAATGTATGTTACAAGAATTGCAGTAATGGCCACTTATCTGATAATAGTGTTTCATTTATGATATTGACTGAATAGACACTTAAATGTGTCATTATTTAATATGAGTATGAAATATTATGTCTCTATGCCCATGATCTTAGGCTCATCACTCATTCTATTATTGGAGAATCAATATCTCTTAATTCCTAATGCACTCTTCATCATAATTAATATTACTGTCCATATTTGTTATAAGGACATTACGGATCTTAATTAATGCACTTAATTTTTTTTATATTAGCACCACACTAGGATTTTCTCCTGTGTCGTGGGTGCGTTTACAAACATATAAGTTCACATACCCATGACACCCAGACCCGGAACAACAAGCTTTGGATCATACAAAAAGTTATTCTGTGCGATAAACGACCACGCGCCAAGCATGCAATCCAGTCAGTCAGGACTGTTTTCACATTTCAATTAAAGAACATGAATTAGGTATAAAAACTTCTCTGTTTAAACCCAATATAGTTCTGAGGTCAGCAAGTACCATCTGGCAGAATGTCAGTATAGTTCATAACTTCATAGTGTAAAAAAAACTATAAACAAACATCTTTCTTAATACTAACAATAAGCATCATAACAACAAGTTCTTTGTTTTTCCATAAACATTACACATTGCATCATTGTACACTTTCATCTATACAATGATTCACCGACACCACATTAAAACGTTTTGTTTACTTTGCATAATAATAGTGTGGCTACAAGCTAATCATAGTCACATTATTTATTCTTTGTTTCTTCTAACACAACTGGACTACATCTCAATAGTAATTAAAATAAGGCATTATACCATGTTAAAAGTCACTTAAATGAATGCTTTTTATAAACTCAAAAGCATTTATTGCAATGAAACCATAATTTGAGACTTTTGAAACGTCAACAAATATAAAATAAATAATGGTCTGTCAGTCTGTTCGTCAGTCAAGCTCCATTCCAAAAACTCCAAAAAGTAAATAGTGCATATAAGTCGAATATATATTTGAATGAGACCTGGATTTGTCCTAAACCTACAATCTCTTGACTTTGATTACCTTATTACTAGATGCAATCCTGAAGGTGCTTGTCCTATGTGGATATTATTAACTTTTTCTAATATTCCAGCTGATATTTCAATGGAATTAAAAGAATATTACATATATATCTATTTACTTTATGTTAAGCAATGTAGCTATTTAGTTATCAAGTTAATAGATAGAAGTTTTACTTCAAGTTTCAAAATACAATAAGATAATAAGTAAAATGAATTTTATTGTTCTAAAACCTGTTTGTACTGACACATTTACATTGACTGTAGGTAAATTCTTGTACGAGCAAACACTTTGTTCAACACCTTTTTGTTGTATCCTCATTTAATATCATTTATGTTTGCTTGAATCATTTATTGTTATTTTTATTTGCCACAGTGACTGAATAATTTCGTTTCAAAAAACGTCTGAGTCGACTGTTATAGTTTTATGATGATTTGAGATGAGACACTCAAACAGTACATAATAAAATGCTAGGTCTATCTTAAAAGCTAGATTCTTACCCAGTTTAGACTAGAGGTAGGAATGTATATTTCTTATTCACAAAAAATATACAAATTCCTATAAAGTTCTAGACTTGTTGATTTGCGTGTTAAAATTACATTTCGTTCGTCGCCCGTTGCCATAGTCCACAAGGGTCGGTTCTCGTGAATTATGGAGTTAATCTGTCACTCAATTAATGTAATTTAGCTGCGAAACCAGTTTGAACTGTTTTTTGTCTTTCGGCAAAGCTCTAGAATCGATTTTTGCCCTTAGGTATGTTAAAATCAGGTTTTGGTCTGATAACATGAAAGTTGTGCGTGCTTAGATGGTCATATAGGATCTCGGTTAATTAGGGTGCAGGTGCCCGCTTGGCAGGTTTATTTTTAAAGCTGTTAAACCCATGTATAAAGCATTTTGGTCGTGAATTACGGCTTGTTTAAGGACGTTTGTCCATCGAAACAACTAGGCAATAAGAAAGGAAAGACTAGTTCTCAGTTAGTTTATTAAACTAGATTTGAAAGGAAATACCCCAAAAAAGTCTCTTACAAGGAAGCCAAAGTCAGGCATTGTTGTCAACAAATAAAATTACAGGCAATACGAAGCCTTAAAATGTATAAAAGATGTCATCGGAGAATAAGCGACCCTTTATCCGGAAGTATGTAATATCGGTGAACATGTTCGCCGCGTTTCCGACCCTCAAAGTCGAGGATATACGACGGCTTATTGAAAGACTTATAACTTCAAGAAATGGGGACGGCTCTTTCTAAAACTTCTCGGTTCCCTTCCTTTAAAACTTTAATATCGAGTCTTACAATATTTGTCTACGTTCTTTGAGCTACTTAGCGATACGAAACTTCTTTTAATACTTATGTATGAATTTTTTAATAAAAATATATCACTATGCCGTGTTGCCTATATGAAGGATGCATTTGTAGAGAAAAATCTTCATTGGCTGCAATGACCTCTTAATTGACCCTATTGGGTCTCCAAACAGAATAATGTAACAGCTATACGAAGTCTTCAAATAAATATCTCAAGTTATCGTTCATATTGTCCCTAGTTCGCGGGTTATTGAACTCAAAGACAGCACTTTTGCACCTGCCTTGCTCACTCGCGTACCTATTTAGATTGGTAATCTAACTTATAATTTTACATTTCCTATATCCGGGACGGATAATCTAGCGTGGCAGTAGTTTGCGATTAGATGATGTAACTGATTTATTGGTTTATAATGTTTAATTACGCTTATAATTACCAGGTAACATTGGCTACCAAATGTTGCCTAGGTTTTAGAAAACCTTAATGTACAATGTACATTTTGTAGTATACTGAATAATATCAACTTTGTGCGACTAGGGTGTTTAAAATCACAATTAACTATCATTATCGTTGCTCCTAAGGTCTTGCTTATATAGGGTCAGAAGATCAAATCATAAAACGTATAACATAACAATTAAATGTAGTTATATACGAACAAGTAAAATATCGATTATGCCATAAAAATGATATCGCTCGATATATCATTCTAGTTGACCATCTTGAGAAACGAATTTATTCCTTTAAAGTCTTGGGTCGGGCATAAATAAAATAATTGTAATTGCATTCCTTATCTCATTTGATTAGTCACAGCTAGGTTGCATCATGCGTTCTGTGGCAACGCTTTACGTGTTCTTCGCATGAGTTCAAACTAATCTATAATGTATTGATAGTAATTTAATTTGTTTTTATTATATTCCAGAATGGATGGCTTACCTGCCACTTAGATGTCTCGAGCTTTACCATGAAATTAATCGAAAGTTTTATAATCGACAATCGATATTGATTTCACGATGATTTGTGTTCAAATAGTCGAATCAAACAAAAAACTTTGGTCCGACAAAATGCAAATAGAGCTTTTTATGGTTACTTTAAGTTTTTTTGTCTCGTTTGGATAAGTATCTAGTTATTTATTTAATAATTAACTTACGTGAGCGTAAAGACTTTCAACAAAAAAGGTTTTTTTTGTTTTGTAGGTGTTCTAGGGATATGAGCTAATATAGTTAATTGAAACACCGTAATTCAGGCCACGAGCTCGATACTAAATACAAAATGCATGAAATTTTTCCATTTTCAGTATTAAAAAAGGCCGCTCCCCCGTTCGTTGATCTAGAAAAAGTTCAAACAATCGTTGTGGCACTAG